TCCGCAGAATGCGATATCGAGGTATGAGGAATCTCGTATAATGCTATCATTGATTCCGGGGCCGCTGTCCTAGCTATCTCATTAAGAGTAGTTGAAAGGGCAGGAAGAAAGAATGACTTACGGAAAAAGATCAGCTCGTTTCAGCAGATGAAGAGAAAATTAATACGGTGGGACATTGCTTTTCGATTAGGAAAAATGCATGCCTTGGGAGATGTCGTAGTTTTACACGTAAACACTTACGACGTCCGTTTTGACCTTCCCGCCCTGGTGGCCTTGCGCGCCAATCTGGACTTCGAGAGGCGATCCATTGTCCTCCGTAATACAAGAGGGAAGCCCTATGTTGTACCTATGAGACTGACTCTTCGAACTATGGCTAACGTAACCCCGCGAGTTTTTCCCATAATGGCGGGAACTCTCCACGTGATTACCTGGGATAACTCTGCTGACGGTGAACAATCTTTGAAGGACGCGGACAGCAGTGACGAGGACGATCCAGTAATTCTGGAAATGGTGCAACAACGTATCTATTGCCTTGTCCAACGAGCAAACACAAGATCGCTAAGCCTGACTGATCAGAGTCTACAGAGAACGCAAGTCATGATTATGGGTGAACCCCTCGTGCAGATTTCGAGGATGGTCGATTCTTTGGAACCCCCTCGAACCCTGTACGAAGGCATCTCCCCTTTACTCACACGATATAATGACAAAAGACACTACTGCGACATCACAAATCTTCCACAATCTCTTTTGACACCTGCAAAAGAGATACGATTGATACGTTTAGGGGCGGAGACCAGTTCTTCGGAATCCCCTAAGCACCTCGAAACCGGACTCGGAATTAAAATCGCAACGAAACTCGTGCCATGGCAGGACATTCGAGACGGAATAACACCGGAAGAACACGTGGCCATTCGAGAACAGGATGCACAGATGATGACCACGGTATTCTCCTGGCGGTCGGATAATTCGTTTATTTTCGCGCCCCCGCCCGAAAACACTAAGCGGGTGAGTACGAAACACATTCGATTCGATGTACGGATATGGGATGAGCTATACGAGTTGCACGTGCCCCAATACGTACCTGATGAGATCCATCATCTAATCGCAAAAATTCTAAAAGAATACAAGGGCGCGATTAGTCTGACGGACACAGACATTGGGCCGTCGTTAGTCATACAGCACGAGATTCAAACCGGAAACCATCCCTCGATGCACTGTAAACCCTACAGATACTCCCTGGTGGGACGAAAAACGACCCTTGAGCGGATCCGAGAATTCAAAGCTAATGGTTGGATCGAACCCACCACCGGGTCATGGTCGTTCCCAGTAGTATTGGTGCCGAAAAAGAATGGATCGATTCACATATGCATTGATTATCGCAAGTTGAATGATATCACGATTAAAGATGTGTACCCCCTTCCCAGGATTGATGATTTGCTGGATGTGATTGGATGTGCTAATTATTTCAGTAAATTTGATATTCGCCACGGTTTTCATTACATCTTGGTTAAGGAGGAAGATCGGCCAAAAACGGCCTTTGTACTATTTGAAGGCACGTGGCAGTGGGTTCGATGTCCGATGGGGATTTGCAACGCGCCTGCCACATTTCAACGGGCTATGAACGTGACGTTCCAGAACTTCGTCAACAAGACGCGGCTCACTCAGAGGATGATTAACTTCTGCGTCATCGTGTACATTGACGACATCCTCGTCTACTCGGAGACCTTCCACGGGCATGCATAGCACATCGAATGGACACTGGGAGCTCTGAGAGACGCTGGGTTCAAGATCGCGCTCGAGAAAAACGAGTTTTTCATCTCGGAAATCTCGTTCTTGGGTTACGTGGTGACACGTGGAGGATTGCGACCATATTCAAGGAAAGTCGAGGCGGTGAAAGATGCTCCTGTCCCCACGTCAGTGACGCAGGTTCGAGCTTTCTTGGGACTGGCATCGTTCTATCGTCGTTTTATCAAAGGCTTCGCTGCGATTGCGCGACCTCTGGCGAATCTGCTACGAAAGGATCAACCCCTTAGTTGGGACGCATAGTGCGAACAGACCTTCGCCACCCTCAAAGGCGCTCTGGCAACAACACCTATTTTGATCCGGCCGGACCCTACGAAGCAGTTCATTCTCATCACGGACTGGCAGCCAGAGGCGATTTCCGCTATTCTAGCGCAGAAGGGGAATGACGGCCGAGAGCACATCATCGAGTACGCGTCTCGTACAGTGCCAGACGAACGAAGGAACGATTTAGCCCCACAAGGTGAATGCTATGCTGTAGTCTGGGGAATCCAACACTTCCATCCGTACTTGTACGGACATAAGTTCCTCCTTGTAACCGATCACGAGCCATTATTGGCACTCAAGAAGCTCACTAATTACACGGGTATGATTGGACGGTGGGCGGTGCGCCTACAGGAATACGACTTCGACATCATCCATCGAAAGACAGAGAGACACAGCAACGCGGACGGGTTGACACGTCTGCATCGCCCTGCTAAAGTACCTAAGGGTGAAGAAATCATTCCGTGGAAGGAGCCAGAGTCAGCCAACGGACCCAAGTACGAACAAGTGGCAGTCCTTCCACGTGGCAAGAAGCAGGCGATTGGCAATGGGTGACGAAGGCAATCCTACAACTCCTCTCTCTCCCCTCTCATCTTCATCTTTCCTCTTCCTACCCGACAAATTTTGTTATTTTTGCGAAGCAATTTCGCGCGTCTACTCGATCCCTATGCGTCCTAGCGGGGAAGGGTATGCAGACTAGATAGATTGTCAACAGTGTGTCGCACGAGCCCATGGCCCGTGCATCCAGTACAGAAATGGCAATAAGCCTTGGTTGTGTCCCTTGTGTCGGACTGATAAGATCCCGACTGAAGCTCGATTTCTTGACGCCATGTCAGAAGGGTTGGAAAAGACCTGAAAGTTTAGAAGGGCCGAGGTATGGAAGGACATAGCTCTAATTGCCACCTTGGTAGGAAGCCCCCTCCAGGACTTCACTAAGGAAGACCGGAGGAGGGCCAAGGAAAGGGCTCGGGATTATCGTTGGAACAAGGGATCATTCGGTTAGAAAAACGGAAGACGGATGGTAGCGGGATTTGGATGGTAGTGCCGCACCTGTTCATGAGGTATGACTGGGTTAAGATGGCGCATAAGGAAATTGCAGCCCATTTTGTCGTACGAATCACGGAAGCGGCAAACGACAAAAACGAATAGTATTGGTCCAATATTCGCGATGATGTGAAATTCATCGTCGCGAATTGCCAGGTCTGCGCTGTTGGCAAGGCACCGATCCAGCCGCCAAGATCGATAGTACCGACGGTAGTTGAACGACCTTTTCAAAAGGTTAGCATGGATTCTATCGATATTGTGGTGCCCCTGGACCTAATAGCTGCGAGTATTCAATCCTACTGGTATTCGTGGACCACTTCTCGAAATGGATCGAGGCACATCCGAGTCGTACGCTACAAGCGGCTGAAATTGAGCGATACGTCAACCGGTTTCTAGGGATGCACCAGGACACAAAGGAAATCCTGACCGACAATGGGGTAGAATTTAGAGGGGAAGTTTTAAGGAATCTGGTTGTACATGGTGTCACCATTCGGAACACTGCACCCCACATGTCACAGTCTAACGGCCTGGTAGAAAACGCAAATTGGGTGATAAAGACAGCATTGCCACAAAACATCGCGACACGGGATCCGAGGCCCTGGCCTGATATCGTAGATCACATCTTGGCGCTGCGTTGCCACTTGTACGCACCCTCGTACGAGTACGGATTCGCACTCTTGTACTCGTACACTACTCGTACGCCAGGGGGCCCGTACGAGTTTTTTTTTTTTTTTTTTTTTAATCCGGTAG